TGAGATGCAAAAAGTCTACCCGGGGAATGCGTCTTCGCGGTACATTAGCAATTCCTCAGTATAGTAGGTCTGACTCGTTTGAATCCACCAAGAGCCGTGGCATGGAGTTGTGTAAACTGATGGGATGACCGGGTCCCTCTCAGGAGTGGAAGCCAGATTTCGCCGGCTTCTCGATCTTCCCTTTATAACACCGTCAATTGTCGGGGCTCCCAGTCGCCCTAACGGAAACCCTGCGAGGGACGTGAGAACGGGTCGTGCGTGGTACGCGTAGAGCCACCGGATCCGAGTTGGCTTGGCGCCAGCTCTTCCTTTCCCCCACGTCTATGTTAAGCCCATTGGATGAAACTCGAAATTCCTGTCGATGGCAGTTCACAGTCACAAGCTACCACGACAATCGCGTCCTTCATGGAGTGAGCTTAACACCGGTGACGTGTGCGCGCGAATCAGTTCGTGATGGGACGGGCGTTCGCTGCGCCTACTGCACTCATCCGTCTGGCTCCGATGGCATGACGGTGTGAAGGTAACCGGAGATGGGTACGCTTGCAGTTCGAGTGTCTTTGCGTCATTTGGCGGTCCGGACCCCACATCAGCGAAAATTTCGAAAAGGTCACAAGTGGAAGGAGCCAGTACAGCTTGACTAACTCCTCTATTTACTCCTTAATACCTAATATAGGGACCGAGTTGCCTCGTTGGATGACAACCCTGTAAGTGTCTACACGTGTCCAGGGTATCACTAGATAGTTTTCTCGGCATGACTAACATGGATCAAGTCCACGCCACGGTCTAAACTCGTCTGGCCACATTTCAGCTAAACTGCAAAATCAAATACATGTAGAGCGTGTGTGTATCGGAAACGCCAAATCGGAGTAGGCATCCGTCCACAGTGGCGTTCCGCAGCAGAGCGTTCTGGGCCCAATTCTGTCCTTTGAGTCAACTACAGCCTACTAGATCCCCCGGTCCGGACGGCAAAATTCCTGAATGTATCCTCAGATCAACTGGCCTCTCCGTTATCCAGGATCTTCAGAACTTCGATGGAGACCGGGGCTTTGCCTACCTACTGGTAGGAAGCAAATATAAGCCCCATATTTAAAGGTGGCGAGAGAACAGCCCCAAATAGTTTCAGACCAGTGAGTCTCACAAGCATCTGTTGCAAGTTGATGGAAAAAGTAATAAAAACGGAGCTGATGCGGCATCTCGAAGAAAACTTGCTCAGTCTACATCAGCGTGGATTTCGAAGTGGTCGATCCTGCCTTGCTAACCCCCTACTATCCATGGATAGCTGGACGAAATTAATCGACATGGGCTTTTCAGTCGGCGCCGTGTACATCGACTTCAAAAAGGCTTTTGACAGTGTTCCACACAGACGACTTATACTTAAACTACGTCAAGTGGGTGTGAACGGAAATCTGTTGAAATGGTTAGCCTATTTTCTTATGGGCAGATCTCAGCGTGTGTGTATCGGAAACGCTAAATCGGAATGGGCATCCGTGCACAGTGGCGTTCCGCAGGGAAGCCTTCTGGGTCCAATTCTGTTCTTAATGTATGTGAACGACTGAACTGCTAGCGTTTAATGTTTGCCGATGATCTCAAATTGTGAAAATCAATAGAAAAGTCGGAATACTTTGTACAGTTACAAGACAATTTGAATCGCTTGCAAAAATGGTGTGATAAGTGGTGTCTTAGCCTCAATCGTAAAAAATGCCAACTTATCCGATTACGATCGAGCAGTAGGAGGCCATTGAGATTTGAATCTCACTACTTTATAGGGGGTCACCAACTGGAATCAGTCAACCAGTTAAGAGACCTCGGTGTGTGGATGACGTCAACTCTCAAACCATCGTTTCACTGTGCCAAGGTATCAAAGAAAACTATGGGTATTCTAGGCGCGATTAGAAGATCCTTCCTCAATTTTGACGAAGAACTTTTCGGCCGAGTATTTGGAGCACTCGTTCGACCGATGGTGGAATACTGTGTTAAGGCATAGCGTCATTGGAGTAAACACGATTACAACCTGCCGGAGAACGTACACCGAAGGGCGACCAAGCTAGTCGGTGGATTAAGTAGCTTGCCTTATGAAAGGCGTCTGGAAAAGCTGAAAATATTTCCTTTGATTACCACCTTCAGGATGGTCCGAGGGCTATTCTGTGCGCTTCAGTTTGACTTCATCTTTTAAATGGCGCGGAAGACAAATCTTCGAGGGCACCAATAATAATTGAAGTTAAAATATGCCAAACTCGAATTGTGGGCCGAATTCTCCTCCCACCGGTTGGTTATAGGATGGGAAAAATGGCCGAACTCCGTTGTCTTAGCGGAAAGCGTTGAGACCTTCAAAAGAAGACCAGATAAATTTATGTTTGATGGTCAAACCTTTGCACAATATCAATGACTGGCATAACTGCTATGTAAATATCTGCATGTTTTTGTTCAAACGTCTATCTGTAAATAGGGTTTTCCAAGGCTCTGTGTCTATCCCTTATGTATACTGAATATTATTGAATTCGGATGCCTAAGTGGGACGTAGGAGTGAATTGAAGTGCATTTTGGTGTTCGGCCACATACCCTTCCACATTTTTTATATTTAGGAAATTTCGGGAGGCAGAAGTATTATTCACGGATGGAAGCGAATATGTGAATCCCAGTTTCTTGTTGTAAAGAAGATGAACACACGATCTCTGAGACAGTAGGTGCATTAGTCTGAGCTTTCGGCCTCGTACAGGAGGCCATCGTCAGAAACCGTGAGAATGCGACATCAAATGA